AGAGAGAGAAAAAGGATGAAGAGAGAGGAGGGAGAGAGGAGGGAGAGAAAGAGGAGAGAAGAGTAGAGGGGGAGAGGGGGAAGCACGCAGAGAGGAGGAGCGTAGATAAGATACAGGCAGGAGAGAGAAGCGAGGGAGAGGAGAGAGAGAGAGAGAAAGACGGGAGGGGGTGCGTGGTGAGAGCACGGCTCGGAGCGATACCAGTCGGTGCAGCGGTTCAACGGGACTTGGAGGTAGTGGACGAGGTCAGTGCATTGGATGCTCATCTAGGCAGGGACAGGCGGAGGTCTGGGCGTTCCGGGCCGGCTTCAGTGACGGGGCGCATTAGATAGCCCCTTAGTCACGCCGCTGTGTTTGATTTCCTCATGGCCCTGGTATTAAGGAGGCACACTGTCGGGTCAGCTAGCGGTCCTTGTAGTACTGTCTATAAGGGCGAGTGTTGCGTGAATGTGACCCCCGCGCATGAGATTTTCGAATGCGGAGAGGCGAGAGGAGAGGAGAAAGAGAGAGAAGGGAGAGAGAGAAAGAGGGAGAAGAGAGAGGTGACAGGATGTGGGGAGAGAGAGAGAGAGGAGAGAGAAAGAGGGAGAGAGAGAGGGGGAGAGGGGAAGAGAGAGGAGAGAGAGGGGAGAGAAGAGAGAAGGGAGAGAGGAAAGAGGGAGAGAGAGACGGGAGGAGACAGAGCAGAGAGAAAGAGGGAGAGGAGAGAGAGAGAGAGAGAGTTTCATTTAGAAAAGGGTTTAACAGACTCTTGGTTTTTATTCTTGAAAGAGTTGAAATGTCGTTTGACTGGAGCCTGTAAAGATGAAGCTCAGGAGGTGACACACTCCACTGAGTTTTAACAGTAATATCAAGCATCGTGGAGCAATAGTTCCAGCCCACTTTGTACTAATCAAATATGGCTCCTCAGGATTTTTAACGGTAAAAAAAACGTTGCTGCTATGTTAGAAACTGGTGGAGCATTCTGACACCAGCTTTTCTGTGGACGCCACCCTAACGGTCGGGTTAGGAGCTGCAGAACCGGCCTGTCACAATCAACCTGTTTGAGTGCTCCGCCTTGCAAGCACTTGGGAGTGACGCCGCCCCTGCCGGAAAAACAGAGACGAGTTTCATTACCGACCTCCGCCCCTAAGATACAGAGGATTGGAGGAAGGAGCTGACGGAGGAGAGGAAAGAAGCAAGAACAGGAGTCAGTGAGAAAGATACACGACACACACGTGTCACACACACACACACACACACGACACACACACACACAACACACAGGCACACACCACTCTCTCTCTTTCTCTCTCTCTCTCTCGCCCTGGGGCTGTTTTCCCAATGGCGCCCAACGGGAGAGGGAAACGTCCAAATCTGAGCACTGGCAAGCTCAGTGTGTCGCACAACGGCGATGGAAGGGCGGAATAAATAGATAAATACACACACACTTTATTAGGAATCGAAACACAAACACAGGACAGAGGAGAGTTTTAAGAAAAGCAGAAAGGATCGTAATGAAAAGAGAAGGAACGAGAAGAAGAGAAAGGGAACTAAATAAAAGAAGGTGAGGGAAAGAAAAGAAAAGAAAAGAAAAGGAAGAAAGGAGAGGGGTCAAGAAAAAGGGAAATAAGAATAAAGAAAGAGAAAAAAGGTAAAAACGATGTCAAAAAGAAAAGGAAACACAAGGAGAAGGAAATAAGAAAGAGGAGAAGAACAGACCAGAGACAGAGGAGACACAGAGGAGGAAGGAAAATCAGAGGAAATGAAGAAGGAAGGGAATAAAAGAACAAAAGGAGAAAAGGAAAAATAAACAGTCTCCAGGAGTGTAACTGAAGGTGTTTTTTTCACACCTCAGCTCAGGTGAACACACCGGACGACAACACACAACCAACACACACACACACACACAAGCACCACACACACACTCAGAGACAGGCTGAGGCTGATCAGGCTGATAGAGAGAGGAAGACAACAGAGGGAGGAGGCAGGGGAGGAGGAGGTGTGGAGTCCCCTGAGGAGCGAGCGTGGGGAGGTGGAAAGGCCTCTGCTGGAGGTCCCTGGGGTATTATCAGCACAGAGGAAGGCGAGAGACACTGCAAGAGACAGAGAGAGATGGTGACGGGATGTTCTGATTTGTGTGTGTTTGTGTGTGTGTGTGTGTGTGTGTGTGTGTGTGTGTGTGTGTCGTGTGTGTTGCAGCTAAACAGGTTTTTGACATCAGGAGAGACTGAGAGGAAAAGAAGAACAATGACATATGCACCGGAACGACTCATGCTGAATTCAGCTGCTTTTGACTGAGAGATGGAAGTGGAAAGCTCTGAAAAGTGAGTAAGTGAACCTTTGAGCTCGGGGTTCATTCTAGTGAACAAGTTGTAAATAAATGTCGAAATAAGGCAGCAAAGGGACATGAGAGAAGATAACTCGTTGGTCCGTGTGGGAATGCTGTCTGACCAACACTGAACACAACAACAACAAAAAACAACAACAACATATATAGGTTTAATACTACTTCTGTACTTCAGTTAAAAAGGCCCTTCCGTCACACAAATCTCTTTCTCCTACGTTTCCTCCTCCGTCAACACGACTCCGGCTTTTTTCAGCAACCGAACAAATTGATGACTTTTGTGTTTTTATTCTGAAAAATACTTACGATCAAAAGCACCAAGTGGGAACCTTGTCAGTTTTAACTTGCGTGAAACTTCCTTTTTTTACTTTTACTAAATGTTTTTTCAGTGTAGCTGCAGCTGGGACGGTGACCGGACATGGCACGCCCCACCAACCAACACACACATTTCTTGCACTGTTTGCACCTCTGGTAATTGATGTGTAACTGACCCTGAACTATTGCTCTTGACAGGTCTTTGACTCAATTAGAGATCAGCTGGCGTTTGAGTTTGGAGAGAAACGTTCCTCTTGTCTCTGGGCTGTCAGAGACGCGAATCAGACGCTTGCTGCTCCGTCGCATCACTTCTGCAGGTTTGCGTGCTTAAGGGTCGGAGGGTTTTTATGTGTGTGCGGAGTATCGGAGAGGACGGCAGTGAGAGCCTGAAGAGATTACGGAGGATAGTTTGTTTGGACGCTGGCAGCTCCACCAGACTTTAAAATAATAAAAAAAGAAAGCGCCTTGGTCCCGATCCAGGAGAAAAATAAAGAAAAAAAATTTAATCCCTGTAATCTTCAGCTCTCACTGCGTCTCTCCGATACTCTCCCACACAGCATAAAAACCCTACGACTTAAGAGCAAACTGCAGCCAGAAGTGGATGCGACGGAGAGGGTAGGTGATTCCGCTCTGACAGGCCCAGAGACAAGAGGAATGTTTTTCCTCTCCAACTCAAAGCAGCAGCTGAATCTCTAATGTTGAGTTCCAAGACTGTCAGAGAAATAAGTTCAGGTCAGTTACACATCAGATTACCAGAAGGTGGAAACAGTGTTCATGTCTGTCCGTCCAGCTGCAGCTTACACTGAAAAACATTTAGTCAAATAAAAAAGGACAGTTTTCAGCAGATAAAACTGACAAGGATGCCCCACTTGCTGGTGCTTTTGATCGTATATTTTTCAGAATAATAACACAAAAAGTTCATTTGTCGGTGCTCGAAAAAGCCGGAGTTCTGATTTTATTGTTTGTGTGTTGAGGAGGAGGAAACGTAGCGAGAAGAGATTTTGTGTGAACGGAGCCTTTTACTGAAGTAATCAGAAGTAGATTAAACTTATTTAGTGGTTGTTGTTGTTGTTTGTTGTTGTTGTTGTGGTTCAGTGTTGGTCAGGACAGGTTCACAAGGGAAGCGGAGGTTTTATCTTTCTCTCTGTCTTTGCTGCCTTTATTTGAACTTTAGTTTTACAAACTTGTTTCAGCTAATGAACCAGGCTCAAAGGTTCACTTATCCACTTTCGAGCCTTTCCACTTCATTCTCAGTCAGCAGCTGATTCAGCTGAGTCTTGTTGGTCATATGTTGTTCCATTGTTCTTCGGTTATTTCCTCTTCAGTCTTCTCCTGATGTCAAACGTTTTGAACTGCAACACACACACCACACAACACACACACCACACCCACACACACACACAAACACAGCCAAATCAGAACACTCCCGTTCACCATCTCTCTTCGTGTCTCTGAGTGTCGTTCCCTCCTCTGTGCTGTAATCTGCCGGGGACCTCCAGCAGAGGCCTCCCACCTCCCACTGCTGCCTCCTCAGGGACTTCCAGCACGCCTCTCCTCCCCTGCTCCTCCTCTTGTTGCTGCCTCTCTCTATCAGCTGATCAGCTCAGCTGTCTGAGTGTGTGTGGTGTGGTGTGTGTTGTGTGTGTGTGTGTGTGTGGTGTGTGTGTGTGTGTGTGTTCACTAACTGAGGGCTGAGGTGTGAAAAAACCCTTCAGTCACACTCCTGAGACTGTGTTACTTTTTCCTTTTCTCCTTTTGTTTTTTATTCCTTCTTCCTCATTTCCTTGTCTTTTGCCTTTCTCTGTGGTCTCCTTCTTCTCTGGTCTGTTTTCTTTTCTTATTTCCTTTGCTTGTGTTATTCCTTTCTTTTGCAGTCTTTACCTTTCTTTTCTTTTTGTATATCTTATTTCTTTTTTTTCTTTGACCTTCCTTTTCTTTCTTTTTCTTTCCTTCATTCCTCACTTACATTTTATTTGTGTTCCTGTCTCTTCTTTCTCGGTGTTTCCTTACTCTTTTTTCAGATTCAGTCTTTCTCCTTTTGCTTAAACTCGCGCTGTGTGTTTGTGTTTGGTGTAATAAAGATGGTGTGTGGTATTTTATCTATTTATCCGCCTTCCAGTCGCCGTGGCGACACACTGCTTGAGGCGTGCTTGCGGCCGAAGTGCT